TCCCCTCCCCTCCTCCATGTCGGCTCGGAACAGATTCGCCTCCATGTGTCTCTGCGTGGTACGTGCCGCGGTACGGGATCCGGCCCCGCTCCCCTCTTCCCGGACCCCCCAAATCTCAGGGTGTGAGCTTCAAGTGCTGTCGCTTTTGCCTCTGCTTGGCTGGGGTCTCTGCGTTGCAACTTCCTGGGGACAAGCACAGTGGGTCGCCCCTCTTATCCTCCACTAACTCACATCCTTGTTTTGGGGTACAAGCCTTGGTTCCAGGTCATTCGTGAAACTGGGGCTTTGGCGGGGGGTGGGCAACAGGGAAGGAACAACAGCGAGCCCGTCTATGTCCCTCCAGGCTTTTCACTTGTGTCAAACCCTAATATGTTGGGAGTGCAGACTTATTCCATCCAATATTATCTGAGCTGTCACTGCTCAAGGCCCTAAGTCCCAGTGGGCTAAAGGGGCAGTGTGTGTGGGGGGGTGTCCTCCTTCCTGTCCTGCTTTAGTTGCCCCAATCCAGGACTGAGAAGTGCTGACAACCCCATCCTTTAGTTTTCAGTTTCAGAATTTCTGGTCCCTATCCGCATCCCTCCAGACCTTTCCCCCTTTATTTTCCCCCTCACTACATATACATTGAAAATTTCCAGGGGCTGTTCATAGGGCCTAACCTCCTCCAACCACATTTTGGGACCTTCAGTTCTTCATTCTATGTTCCTCATTTTTCTCCTGTTACCTATGAGTCCCCAGAAGCCTTTTCCTCAGTGTTAGACACTCCCCTCTCCCATGGGGATGGGGCAGGGAGAGATGTCTGGGGTCTCAACTGTGATAAAGTTTACCTTTATTTCCTCTCTAGAATAAACCATGAAATGTCTCTCTTCATGCTTCCATTTTCTTTGGTGCACTGACATTTCTTCATCAGATTCAGGAATTTTCTTTGTGAAGGGGGTGAAGATGGAGGGACATTGGACTTAAACCCTCCCAGACTCCAAAACTTGGAATTACAGGTTTTAGTCTAATTTATTTTGCAGGAAATTGGGGGCCTTACAAAGTGAGAAGAGAGACTTGTTTCCTTCCATTTCTCCCAGACCCTACAATTCCAGGGCATTGTCCCTCGGCTTGCACATTGTCCAGGCTGAAGACCACCTTCTCAGGATATGGAATGAACAACCTCTTTCAGTTCATGGTGCTGTTACCCAAGACAGCTCAGCCCTTGAGGAGGGCTGTTTTGCATACTATTCCTACTTTCCTTCTCTACTTTTTGTGCCCATGATATTAACCCCTGAAGTTTTGGATTCTCTCTTCACATCCATGGCTATTTCCCTTCTTTAAAACTCTTTAAACATATCCAGGTGCTTCTTAATTCTAGTTGCTTCTGTGTCCTGAGTTGAGAATCTTTATGTTGACAGGACCATTTCCCTCCTCTAGTTCTCTTACTTCATTCACCCTTAGTCTACAACAGTGTTGAATTACATCCTCAGCCTTGGTTCATCATCCTAACTTCCAGAATCATACTCATCATATACCAGGCATAGTACTTGATAAGCTTCTTCCTATTTGATCTTGCAATTATTTCCCTTCAAATGATGGGGTACTCTCAGCTTTTCAGAAAAAATTGAGAGGGAAATTCTACCCCCTTTTCTCATGAATACTAGTAGCTGTATGCTGTCTTTTTTAGTCCCTGAGAGATCCCTGCATCTGGTACCCTCTGCCTGCTTCCCTGAACCTGGAGTCTGGACCCTTCTACTGTGGGGGTCAACTCCTGAGGAGAGTAGCACAGGTGGACAGAGGCAGCTGTAAAAGGAGCCAGGCAGAATTGTCCTTCAGTGCTGCCTTCATCTGCCCTTTTCCTCTCTCTCTGCCCCAGGTTAATCTCATTTACTGGTGTTCCTATGAAGCTAGTACTGGAGGCCCTTGAGGTAGCAGCTGGTTAATTGGGTAGGGAGTCAGGAGACATGTTGGATCTTTTACCCCAAAAGGCCAGAGGAAGACTTGAATTCACTGTGAGGTTCAGCATGCTACCCTCTTCCCCAGTTAAGGACCTGGCACTCATTTCTGTCCCCTTCTGAGCCCTACTGCCTTTGTTCCTCCCCTTCCTCCCCCATCACATCCCTTTCTAGTACATCCGGATTAGCTGGCTGGGCTGTGGACTACTATAAGGTTGCAGCTAGCTCTGGGGTCCCTTTGCTGACTACTTGGGAAATAAGTAAGCCCTTGAAGGAAGAGTGAGACAGACTTGGCTTTGTCCTTCCTGGGGGCTGATGCCAAATACCTTCTATTTGAAGAGGCTGACTTTGGTCCCTGCTTCATGCATGCAAGGTGCTGGAAAACCCATTGCTCATGGGGTAGAGTTTGCAATGGGGAGACTGAGATGATGAAGGTGAGGTACAAAGCAGGAGCAGCAAGTGGAGCATGGGAGGGGGAGTCTAAAACATGGGAGTGGGATTTAGATGATTAGGGAAGCAAAGAAGTTGGGGGATGGGATGTGGAGAATAGAAGTATCAGGGTTCAGGGGCAAGAGTTTTTGAAGGATGGAGGGAAGAAGGCCTGGAAAAGGGGTGAAGACACTGATGCCCAAGGAAGGGGATGCTGGGTAGAAGGCCAAGGCCCCGGGATGTGAGGAGCAGGAGTTGGGGGATGGAGCTGGAATTTGGGGAGAGAGGAGAGGTGCTGAGGCCCTGGCGGGAGAGGGGGCTGTTGGGAGGGTGGAGAGAGGGGAGCCAATGGGCTGGAGGAGAGGGAGGGGGAGGAGCTGGTCAGGCCCTAGGGCCTTCCGCACTGCACTGGCTGGGGGAAGAGGAGGCGGCTGGGGCCGGCGGCCTGGAGCCTGAGGCACTGGGCCGGCCCAGTGACGCCTCGGTCCCCATCCCCAGAAATACCGCTACCAAGATGAAGACACGCCCCCTCTGGAGCACAGCCCGGCCCACCTCCCCAACCAGGTAAACGCCCCCGAGCTGGTGCACGTGGCGGAGAGGAACTTGTCCCACCTCGAGGCCGTCCACGGGGTCGTGGGCCACGCCCACCTCTCCCCCCTCAAGGTAGGAGACCCTGGCGGCCCCCTCCCCCGTGCGGCCCTCGGAGCCTCGGAGCTGCAGCAACCCCCATGGGCCGGTAGGGCAAGAGCTGTGGGGAAAGGTTGGGTCTGGGGTGGGGCATTTGGGGCTTGGGCTCCTGGGGCCTGGGGGAGGGGACGTTGGGGGGGGCTGGAAACACGTTGGTCCCACGAGGAGAAACAGGTCAGGCAAGTGGGAGTGGGTCCGGAGCCTGAGGCGCTTGTGTGTTTATGTGTCTCTGAGTGTGCCTGAGTGTGTCTGAGCGCTACGTGCTGTGTGCGCATGTTGAGACATCTGCATCCCCCTGGAGGCCCCCTGCACCAGGGCCCTCTTCATTCCTTCACACCCCCAACCCCCGGTTGCTTCCTGTGTTTTCTGTGTCCAGAGCTCTGTTCCAAGCGCCTGCTGCCCTCATTTGCTCCTGTCCCTTCCCGCCTCCTCCCCCACCTCCGCCTCTGGGCCTGCTCTCCCTGTCCCTGAGTCTCCAGCCCTTTCCATCTGTCTGGCCTGAGACTTCACCACGTCGTCGTCGTGGGGCCTTTTTGCCTCTTCCTCTACCCTAGTCTTTGCTCTCCTCCTGTTCTTCCTCCCCCTCCACCGCTTTTTCCTCCCTGCTGGCTGGCTGGCTGGTTCTTGATGCTGTCTCTCTCTTCCTCCCACGCATCTCCTTCCCCCCCTTGCTGATCCCCAGCTCAGGCCTCTGCGGCCTGATCAGTCTTCTCCTTGGTCAGCCAGCTCACTATTTCTCAGTTTTACCTTCCCTGTTCCTCTCTTCTTGGGCTCATCTCCACCCGTATCTTCTTTCTTTCCCCCACTTTCCCCCTTATTCATTACCACCTGTTTCCCCTTTCCCTCCTTCTCTGCTCAGTGTGCTTTCCCGTCTTCAGTCCTGGGAGGCCTTGTTTCTGAAACCTTCTATTTTCCAGTCCACTTTCCATCTTCTTCCCCCTCAGTCTCCTTTTCTGGGTCACAGGATGGGGAGGAATGGAGAGCACAGGCAAGCTGTGAGATTGAGGACAACGAGGGTCAGTGGTGTGGAAGCCCCAGGAAGGGGGAGATTGCTGATGTTTCATCATGAAATGGGGAGGGAGTTTCTGAGCTAAGGGGATGAGGAAAGGAGAGTCCCCTAAGCTTGGGATTAGAAGTGGCAGGAGAGGTGTTGAATGGGGGTGGAAAGAGGACATAGGGATGAAACTGTGGAATCGGGGCAGTGGATTGAGTGGGTCCAGAGAAAAGAAAGTGAGGCCCTGGAAATGGGGATGATGCTCAGCATTTGTGTGCAATTATGACTGCAAGGCCTGTGCAATGCCTTTTACAAGATGGGGCCATTAAGTAGTTATTGAGGAGGAAGACAGAGAAGGGAAGTTTGAGGGGTAGTAGGTAATAAGGTGCCAGGGAGTGTTGGGATCAGAGCTCAGGAAGCAAATGGGAGTGGAGGGAGGGTGCTAGAGGCCACAAGTGATGCTGGAGGACATCTCAGGACAAGGCCTCAGTTGTAGGACAGGAGATGTCCCAATCTTCAGATGGGTGGGTAGTGGGTTGAGAAGTGAAGGAGTGATTTGGAGATAGAATATTGAGGGTTTGAATATGGGGTAACATTTGATTCCCTCTCTGAGAATCAAATTAGGATGGAGGGTAAGGACAGGAGATCCATAAAGTATAGGGCAGGGGTCTGAAAATGGAAGTGGATAGAGAATGGAGGCTGGGGTTGTAGGATAGAAACTGAAGGGTGGGTACAAGGATCTAGATGGAGGGTGTTGGATGAATGTAATCTTGGATGAAGGATGGGGCATCAGGGAGGATCTAGGATAGGAATGGGGATGAACATGTGGATAAGATTTCAGCAGTCTGTGGCTGTTGGCTAGACAACAGTGTTTGCTGCGGTTGGGAGGATGGCGGTAGTAGATTTATGGATGTGAAATCTAGGGTAGAGCCTGGAAATTGCCGGCATTTTCTAGAATTGAGAAATAGAAGTAAAAGAGAGGAGGGCCTCTTTGGAGGGGGAAAGTGGGAAGGAGACTAGGAGAATCCTTTAGCTTGTTTAAGCTAATCTGTTTAAGGAGGAAATAGGTTGGGGACCCCGGAAGGAGGCTCTTGGCCGCCTTCCTCCATTGCCATAGAGACGTGGCTTTGGTTGCCCTGGCAATTGGGGAAGCCCCTAGGACCGGCCTGAGGTTGGCCCCGCCTGAGAGTCCAGAGACCTGGCCGCCTGACGTCAAAGACCTGGGAACGCCTAACTTTAACCCTTTCCTTATTGAAGGCGAGGGGGAGGGAGTAGAAGTGCAGGCTAGGACCCGGATGTCTTTCACCACTCCCTGTTTCTGACGTTTCTTTGCGCTGCGTAGGGTGAGGGGTGCTGGGGAGACTGGAAGGCAGGTTACTCAGAATGTGCTGTGCCCACGAACCTCTTCGACCTGGCCTCCTCTCGGCCCGGCTAGTGGGGGGCGGGGCCCAGGCCGGGAAAGGTGGGGCTCGCGGAGTCCTGCCGCGCTCAGGCCTCTGGACGACCCTAGGCCACGCCCATCTCCCCCGCCTGCTGTCCTGACGACAGGGCCTCCTGGAGGTGGGTCTCCCCAGGTCTTGACTGGGCTTAGATACCGTTGCTAGGCAACAAGGTCCCTGGAGAAAGGCGTGGATTGGATGGCGGGTGGGTGAGAGAGAGGGAGGGGCCTGCAGCTGGGGAAATCCCGGATTCCCTGGGCGCTGGGTTTAGGGCAAGTGTATGCGAAGGTGAGGGACAAATCTGGGGGTGCATTATAAAAATGTGGGGGGATAATGACAGGGAGCGGGCAGGAAGCGGGTGATCAGGACCTGGTGGACAGGAGCCCTGGGGTGTATGTGTGTAGCACATAAGGCATGTAACACCCGTGGTGTTACATCCGGTGAGAAGCTCCCTTCCCCCCAACCCCCCCCTCCTCTTTACCATCTGCTGCTCCCCTCTCCGTCTGGCTGTCTCTCCCTTCTCATTTCTCATACATTTCCTTCCACTTGCAGGGGACCTGAGCTCAGCAGAGTTGAATCCATGCACATGTGTATCTGTGCGTGTGTGTGTGTGTGTGTGTGTGTGTGTGTGTGTGTATGAAATGTGGGCTGAGCCTGGGTCCTTGAAGAGCCCCTAAGGGTGGCAGAGTGGGGCTTGGTGAAGTAGCTGAAAGGGGAGCTAGGCTGATGGGACCCATCCTTGGTTATGGGCTCCCTCTTGAGCCAAGGCTGAGTCAGCTTTTCTTTTCCTGTCTTCCCTCACAGGCCAATTCTCCCCCAGTGATTGTCAACACAGATACCCTAGAAGCCCCAGGATATGTGAGTTGTTTAGATTTTGGGGTAGGGACCATTGCAGAAGGAGGGAGGGAGGGAGGGATGGAGGACCCAAGTCCCTGCATGAGGAGGGAGGGCTAGGTTCTCAGGCTGGAATGTCCATCTCACTGTTTTTGTGTTTCTGTCCCATGTTGGAGTTGCAGGTGAACGGAACCGAGGGGGAGATGGAATACGAGGAGATCACATTGGAAAGGGTGAGCCAGCTCCTCCTTTCAAGTTCCTCTTGTTTCCCTGCCTGTGTCTCTGTGCACATGTTTTCTAGGTGGCCTTCCCTTTAACCATGTCCCTTAGTGCTCTGGCTACAACTCTCTGACCTATTCCCTGTCCCACTTGCCTTGCCAGAATTGGTTGTTCAGTGAGGGAGGCTAACCTATTGCCCTCCTTTTTCTCAGGGTAACTCAGGTCTGGGCTTCAGCATCGCAGGTGGCACCGACAACCCACACATCGGTGACGATCCATCCATTTTCATCACCAAGATTATTCCTGGAGGGGCTGCAGCCCAGGATGGTCGCCTCAGGTGGGGAGGGGAGACAGGGGTTAGGAAGCTAGTATGCTTGAAAATGAGGGCCAGGGCAGCAGGAAGCTCCTGGCTCAGGCCCACCTTGCTGCTCTCAGGGTCAACGATAGCATCCTGTTTGTAAATGAAGTGGATGTGCGGGAGGTGACCCACTCAGCAGCGGTGGAGGCTCTCAAAGAGGCAGGCTCAATCGTGCGCCTCTACGTCATGCGCCGGAAGCCCCCAGCTGAGAAGGTCATGGAGATCAAGCTCATCAAGGGGCCTAAAGGTAGTAACCAGTTTTGTCCCCACTCCTGTCCTAAATGTCCTCCCTTCCCCCCCCCAAAAAGGCCTGCTTCCCAGTTACCTGAGCACCCACCTGTGCCATTCCTTGCATCCAGGTCTTGGTTTCAGCATCGCAGGGGGCGTGGGGAACCAGCACATCCCTGGGGATAATAGCATCTATGTAACCAAGATCATCGAAGGCGGTGCTGCCCACAAGGATGGGAGGTTGCAGATTGGAGACAAGATCTTGGCGGTGAGGACCTCCACTTTTCTAGCTCAGACCTGAGTCTCACCTGTAGACCCTAGACAGGCTCAGGATTCTTATTACCTCACCCCACTACATCTGCCTTGTTGCCATTTCTGGCTCTGTCTGAGCTTTGCTTCCCTTGACCCCAGGTCAACAGTGTGGGGCTGGAAGACGTCATGCATGAGGATGCCGTGGCAGCCCTGAAGAATACGTATGATGTTGTCTACCTAAAGGTGGCCAAGCCCAGCAATGCCTACCTGAGTGACAGCTATGCTCCCCCAGACATCACAACCTGTGAGAGCCCTCCAAATTCAAAAGCTCCTCATGACCCATTCTAGTTATCCCCATGACATATAATTCTAGGATATTCCCTGTGACCATTCCTCTGTAGATTATCCCCATAAAATGGTCACAACCTCTGATCCTTGATCTGGTTGGAGAAGTGATAGAAAATGAGTCACCTTAGAAGCACTAGAAAAGATGAACAATCTTGCCCTCCAGAGCTTAAGGCCCGCTTGGTTTTATGCATAATTTGGTCAAATTCTCAAGAAATACATTCTAGCTGGGTATGGGGGTGCATGATGTAATCCCAGTGGTTTGGGAGGATGAAACAGGAGGATTGGAAGTTTGATGCCAGCCTCAGGAATTTAGCAAGGCCCTCAAGCAAGTGAGACCCTGTCTCAAAACACAAAAAACAAAAAGGGCTGGGATTGTAGCTCAGTGCTGAGCACCCCTGGGTTAAATCTCCTGTAGTAATTAAAAAAAAAGAAAGAAAGAAAGAAAGAAAGAAATAGATGACTTTTTAAAAAAATATATTTATTTTTTAGTTGTAGTTGTCAATATCTTTATTTTATTTATTTATTTTTATGTGGTGCTGAAGATTGAACCCAGGGCCTCACACATACTAGTCAAGCGCTCTACCGCTGAGCCACAACCCCAGCCCCAATAGATGATTCTTATGCTCTTTCAGAGTAGGAAAAGATAAAAGGCTTCACATCTCATTTTATAAGGCCAGTTTAAATAGTCACAAAGATAACCTAAAAGAAGGAAAGTAAAGAATAATTTCACTTTTGAACAGAGATGTAGAAATTTTTAGTGTCATAGTAGGAACCCCAATATGGCTAGCATATTAAGAGAATAATATTTTTTAAAAAGATTGTTTCAGAAAACTAAAAGTGGTATATTATTAGAAAATTTCTTACTATGATTCATTATATCAAAAATCAAGTGAGAAGCTGGGTGTGCTGGTGCATGCTTGTAATTCCAGCAACTTGGGAGGCTGAGGCAGGAGGATCAGAAGTTTGAGGCTAGTCTCGACAATTTAGCAAAACCCTCAGCAACTTAGTGAGACCCTATGTCAAAATAAAAATTAATAAATGAATAAACAGGACTGGGCAGATAGCTCAGTAGTAAAGTGCCCCTGGGTTTAATCCCTTGTCCAAACAAAAAAAAGTGAGAAAAAATTAAAGAATCATCTTAAATAGATATGGAAAGCCAGTTGATGAAATTTAACATCTATTTTTGGGTGAGAACTTTCAGTAAACTAGGAGCAGAGACATTTTCCTTAATGTGATGAAGAGTAGTTATTAGCAACCAGCAATGAACATTTTGCAGTGTGTCCTTTTTCTCATTGAGGAGTGAAATAGTGATGCCTCTTACTACTGATACTGTTACTGTTTTAGACAAAGTTTCTCTCTCTCTCTCTCTCTCTCTCTCTCTCTTTTTTTTTTTTTTGCAGTACTAGAAACTGAACCTAGGGGTCTCTACTACTGAGCTACATCCCTAGTACTTTTTATTTTTTTGAGAAAGTTTTTTGCTAAAGTGCCCAGGCTGACCCTGAACTAGTGATCCTCCTGCTTTAGTCCCCTGAGTTGCTGGGATTGCACTGTACCCAGCTTAGACTGGGATTTCTTTCTTTCTTTCTTTCTTTCTTTTTTTTTAAAAACAGCGGGGAATTAAATGTTAGATGTCTTTATTTTATTTCTGACAGGCGCTGAGGATTGAACCCAGTGCCTCGCAGGTGCTAGGCAAACGCTTTGCCACTGCGAATGCTTTGCCACTGAGCTGCAGTCCCAGCCCTAGACCAAGTTTCTTTCTTTCTTTTTCTTTTTTTTTGGGCCATGCTGGGAATTGAACCCAGGGCCTGTGAATGCAAGGCAAATACTCTATCAACTGAGCTATATCACCAGCCCTAGACCAGGTTTCTTCATGTTGGTGCTGTTGACATCTTTGGGTCCAATGACTCTTTGTTGTTCTTGTAATTTCCAGGATTTTTTATTTTTTATTTTTGGTGGTGCTAGGGGTTGAACCCAGGTCCTTGCACATGCTAGGCAAATGCTCTATTAAGCTTGTCCCCTAGCCTCTGTAGAATTTTTTTTTTATTGGTTGTTCAAAACATTACAATACTCTTGACATATCATATTTCATACATTTGATTCAAGTGGGTTATGAACTCCTATTTTTACCATGTATATAGATTGCAGATTCACATTGGTTACACATCCATGTTTATACATATTGCCATACTAGTGTCTATTGTATTTTGCTGCCTTTCCTATCCCCTTCCTATCCCCCCTTTCCTTCCCTCTCTAGAATTTTTTTTTTAATTGGGCTCTTTTTACCTATTATATCTTCTCATTGTTATGATTTCTTATTACTTATTTTCCAGGGCCACATTTTTATTTAGATATTTATTTTTTTAGTTGTAGTTGGACACAATATCTTTATTCTATTTATTTATTTTTATGTGGTGCTAAGGATTGAACCCAGGGACTCGTACATGCTAGGCGAGTGCTATACCGCTGAACAACAACCCTAGCCCAGCATTCTTAACCTTCCATTTTATTTCTAAGTTTTTCAGTTAATTTGTTTTGTGTTTTAGTCTAAATGGTCCACAATATAATTAACAAATAAGATTAATTTTGTTTCTTTGTTTTTAAATCTAACATCTGTTTATTATTATTTTGGTCAAAAGCAATAATTTTCAACCAGGGTAATTTTGCTGAGATAATTTTGTCATAACATTTTTTATTGTTATTACCAAAGGGAAGAAGGTGGGAGGAAGAATACTGTTATCTGATAGAAATATAAACTTGACAAGAAGTGTGAGAATTACATGAAAAAAAAATTTACTGAAGGGTACAAAACGACGATTCTGGATGGAAAACCTTAATAAGTAGAAGATCTCAATCCTCTCCAAATTAATCTGTACATTTCATGCAATCCTAATCAGAATTTCAATATTGGTTTTCCCCTGGGAATGTAGCAGATTGATCCTAAAGTTCAGTTGGAAAAGTATGTGTGGGAGAAGAGCTAAGACATTTTAGAAAAGAATAATGAGGTGTGGCTGCCCCTACCTAATATGAAATCATACTTAAACCCACATTAAAACCACATGGTACTATTTCTGGATACCATAATCTATGTAAAGGAACCTGGGCTCCTTGGAAAAATGACTGATTCCAAATGTTTGGCAAGAAATATATGAGACAAACTTCAACATCTTTCATATTAGGAAGGAAGGAAGGTATCTAAGACTAGGGTCACATTAAAGACACAGAGCCATGTTGAAGAGGCTTCTGGCCATTCATTGAAAACTCATTCAATAGGTGAAAATCCACGAGGTCATAGTTATATTTAAAAATATTGAGGCTGGACGTTGTGGTGTAATCCTGTAATCCCAGCCACTTGGGAAACTGAGGCAGGAAGACCTTGAGTTCAAAGCCAGCCTCAGCAATTTAGCGAGGTCCTGAGGAATTCCGTGAGACCCTGTCTCAAAATAAAATATAAAAAGGTTTGAGGATGTGGTTCAGTGGTTAAGTGCCTCTGGATTCAATCCCCAGTACCAAAATAAAAAAAAAATTAATAATTGGGAAGCCAGTCTTGGTGATAAGTGCCCATAGTCCAGCTAGCAGGAGGATTGCTCGAGCCCAGCCTAAAAAACCTTCCAAGACCCTGTCTCAAAAACAAAAACAAGGGCTGGGGTTATAGCTCAGTGGTAGAGTGCTTGCCTAGCACATGTGAGACACTGAGTGTGATCTTTATCACCACAAAAAAAAAATAAAGGTATTGGGTTCATCTATAATGAAAAGATTAAACAAAAATAAGAAACAAATTATGATTAAATTAATTTTAGGCTGGAGGATATGGTTCAGTGGTAGAGCACTTGCCTAGCATGCACAAGGTCCGGGGTTTAATCCCTAGGACTGAAAAAAAAAAATGGGTCTCTTTGGAAGAGTCTAGGAAACCCATTTACTGAAAACTGGTAAAGAGCTGAGCATCCATCATTCCTGTACAAACTATACCTTAGATTAACTAAAAGGTTGAAATGGGACAGTTCTTCATAGAAAATTTGATTAATGTTGTCCCATCTGAAAAAGAAACACACACCAGAAAAAAAAAAAAACAAAACAGAATTGTTATCATTTGATGGTTCCAGATAAATATCCAAACTAGGCAGTGATCATCATCAGTGGCTGTGAAAGCTTGGATGAGAGGCTGACGGGTGGACAAGGCTGAATACTTCCGAAAGACAACAAGACATCATTGCAGCCTTTTGTGACACAGTAGGAGTGCACAGCGCCACCTGTGAAGTCTGCTTACTCACATATTGAATTTGAATCTGATGAAGCCTCTAGAATAAAGTCCCCAGGTTACAGGAGATATAGGAGTAGAGGCATAGGTTAAATAAGACCACAGGTATTATGCAGGAATTTTCCCTGTTAGAATTTCCCTCATAAAACCTAGGATAATTTTTTAGATAAATGACCTAGTTTTTCAACAGATGAATGGCCAAAGAGGAGGGGACCAAAAAAAAGGGAATTTTTATGGATTAAGAGATTTGAGAAAAATATCAACCAAAAAGAAAGAAAACCCAAAAAGCATGGTATTAATATTGTCGTTTGACATCACCATCCCTGGCATATCAAGGACAACGCATAACTTTAAAGTCCTTTATCCCCTAAGAGAACCAATCTCTGATGCTATAAATTCCTGACCTCTGACATTGCTGGATCTGATGTCCTCTTTACCACATCACCAAATATCTTTGGCAGAATAACTTCCTTTTTGTCTGAGTCTGGCTCTCTTGGTTTCTGCTGGAGAGGGTGGGCTGGTGGGTGCCGATGGGTATCCTCCTTATGTTTCATCTCATTCTTTCTATGTCTTCCCTCAGCTTATTCCCAGCACCTGGACAATGAGATCAGTCATAGCAGCTACCTGGGCACTGACTATCCCACAGCCATGACCCCCACTTCCCCTCGGCGCTACTCTCCAGTGGCCAAGGACCTGCTTGGGGAGGAAGACATTCCCCGAGAACCGAGGCGAATCGTGATCCACCGGGGCTCCACGGGCCTGGGCTTCAACATTGTGGGTGGTGAGGACGGCGAAGGCATCTTCATCTCCTTCATCTTGGCCGGGGGCCCTGCGGACCTCAGCGGGGAGCTGCGGAAGGGGGACCAGATCCTGTCGGTGAGGGAAGGCCTGCCCTTGCCAGCCTGCCCACCCTGTCCCCCCAGTAGAGCCCAGAGCTCTTGGGAAGGAGCTGGGTGGGCCGAAGCCTGGTCCCCTACTGGACTATTCCCTGCGCCACTTAAACATGAGAAGTGCCAAGCTATTCAGCCGCTGTTCCTCTCTCTAGGTTAATGGTGTTGACCTCCGAAATGCCAGCCATGAGCAGGCTGCCATTGCCCTCAAGAATGCGGGTCAGACGGTCACAATCATTGCTCAATATAAACCAGAAGGTACCAGGCTTAAGGCACCCATCTTGTGGGCTCAGAACTTGTTTTGTCAACTGATGGATTCAGCAGGGATGAGGATGGGGTGGGGCAGAGAGGTTTTGGTAATAGAATGGAGCACAGTTCAAGAACTTTCTTGTGCTTCTTCAGAGTACAGCCGATTCGAGGCCAAGATCCACGACCTTCGGGAACAGCTCATGAACAGCAGCCTGGGCTCAGGGACTGCCTCCCTTCGGAGCAACCCCAAAAGGGGTTTCTATATCAGGTCAGAGGCTTGCTGGGCTGAGCTTTGTGGGTTTCTGTGGATTCCTCTTTCTTTTGTGCCCATTCCCTATTCCTTAGCCAGCTCTTGCCCTAAACCCTGCCTGATCCACACCCCGCCTGCCCGCCCCACACCCAGGCTTATTGCTCAGCCACTGTTCACAGGCTCAGTGACACAGATTAATCTGAAATACACCATCTGAATTGGAAAATAACTTCTACCCCAAGTGTTCCACTTGCCTTCTAGCCCCAGGGCACCATGACCTCTCCCCAAGGAGTCTCATACTGCCTCACAATTGGGCATTGAAAAGGTAAACACAGGGCTTTTAGGATTTCTTTATATTTATTTATTTAGATATTGGAGATTGAGTCCAATGGAGCTTTACTACTGATCTATATCCCCAGGCCTTTTTATTTTGTAATTTGAGATATGGCCTTGTCTTTGCTGAGTCTGTCCTTAAACTTGTGATCCTTCTGCCTCAGCCTCCCAAGTTGCTGGGATTACAGGCATCCACCAGCTTTTTACTTTTAACATGGGGGTCTTGCTATATTGCCCAGGTTGGTCTTGAACTCCTGAGCTTGAATGATCCTCTTGCCTCAGCCTCCTGAATAGCTGGGACTTTATGCATATGTCACTGTCCTCAACTTTAGGATATATACAAATATATATTTTTTGTGGTGCTGGGGATTGAACCCAGGGCCTTGTTCATGCAAGGCAACCTTTCTACCAACTATATTCCCAGGTATATCCCCAGCCCCAGGATATTTTTAATATTGTTTCAGTCTTGGTATCCCTGTGGGAATTCTCAGAGAGATGGACCACAGCTCTCTTGCACCTGACTCCTGTCTCTTCAGAAGCATTTATTCCCTTAGGACTCCTCTCCCTATTGACTCTCTTTTGTGCTCTTCCCCAGTGTGGGCACTGTGGCTTAAGTTTCTGTTGCACTTCCTCTTTCTCTCTGTCTCTGTCTCTCTCTCTCTCTCTCTCTGGTCCTGTTCACTTGCCCAGCCTCATCTGCCACTCCAGTCTGCACATGTGTCTTAGAGCCGTCGGCCCTGGCCTGACCTCTCAGAGGTGCAGACCTGCTTTTCTGGCCATCTGCTTGCTTTTCCTTCTTCTCTCTCCCTCTCCCTCCCTTCTTTCCTTCCTGGGCATGCCACAGGGTTGAAGCCTGGGCACTTTACTATTGAGCTACATCACCAGTTCTTTTTTTTTTTGGTACCAGGGATTGAACTCAGGGGCATTTGGCCATTGAGCTGCATCCCCAGCCTTATTTTGTATTAGAGTCAGGGTCTCACTGAGCTGCTTAGTGTCTCATTGTTGCTGAGGCTGGCTTTGAACTTGCCATCCTCCTGTCTCAGCCTCCCAAGCTGCTGGGGTTACAGGCTTGTGCCACCATGCCCTGCTCACCAGTTCTTTTTATTTTTTTGTTGAGACAGGTAAGTTGATTAGGGCTTCACTAAATTGCCGAGGCTGCCCTTGAAATTGGCATTCCTCCGGCCTCAGCTTCCTGGTTATTGGGATTGGCCATCTGCTTTCTAGCCATCTCTGCTAAGATGTCTTACCGGCATGTCACACTCAACACATCCCGCACTCAGCTCACGTTCTCTATCTTGGGTGCTTTTGTTTTCTCTTTCACCATCCACTTAGACACCTGGCTCATACCTGGGGTTTCACTTGGCTCTCCTTCATTTCTGGGATCCAGTAAGACCCCAGGGTTATTCAGTTCTGACTCCTAGATGATGTCAGCAATTCCAGACTCTCTCCCTATATTCCCAGTCCCATTGCTTTATTCTGCATCTTTGCTTTCTTGGAGAATCAATAGTTTTCTTGTCCTAACCCTAGTACTTTTGACTCCCTGACAAGAGTTTGATGCTGATAAGGGATAAGAGTAACTAATGTTTGCCAGTGAGGGACTTTTTTTTTTTTTCTCCTTATGAATTTGAGCAGATTCAAGGGAACTCTGTGGCATGCACACATATTGAAAACTTCTGTCTGGAGTTCTTGCTCTCATCCTGGAAATTGGACACATCATACATGTAATGGCAATTATATGTTACAGCAGAGCTTTTGGTTCTTTCCTAGTTTTGGGGTTCCTGTGGGCATGCCACTAACAACCTAAGCTTTGCTGCAAATTCCTAGCCCAGAACCTCTAGGCTGGTTCTTGGTGTGGCTGGAGTACTAGCCATGCCCTGACCCATAGCCATTTGTCCTCTAGGGCCTTGTTTGATTACGACAAGACCAAGGACTGCGGCTTCCTGAGCCAGGCCCTGAGCTTCCGCTTTGGGGATGTGCTGCATGTAATTGATGCTAGCGATGAGGAGTGGTGGCAGGCACGGCGGGTCCACTCTGACAGTGAGACGGATGACATTGGCTTCATCCCCAGCAAACGACGGTGAGGCTCCTGGGACCTGCAGACTTCCTGCTCCAGGCACTGAAATTCCCAAGGTTCTCCAGGGTGGGCAGCCAAAAGGGGGTTCTCTGGAGTCTGTCTGGTGGGCCCTTCTCATGACTATTGCTTCTATGAGCCTTTGGGGCAGACAGCTCCTCACTGAGGATCACAGGGTCCAGAGTGTGGGAGCTTTTAGGCCTCACTAGGCACTTTCCCACCCTCCATATCTCCATGTATCCCACAGGGTTGAGCGACGGGAGTGGTCAAGGTTAAAGGCCAAGGTAGGTGGAGGAGGGGTGAGTTTGGTGCAAGAGTGGGGTCTTCACAGAGCCGAACCCTTAACCAACCCATGGCTTGCTTTTTCTTCCTAGGATTGGGGCTCCAGCTCTGGATCACAGGGTAGGTAGGGCCAGTTGGGAAGCCCTGGGGTGAGAGGAACACCAAAGAAGGCAGGGGGCCCCAGGTCCCTTGTCTTAGAGCCCCTTGAAGACGCTCTGTCTCCCACCAGGTCGAGAAGACTCGGTTCTGAGCTACGAGACAGTGACGCAGATGGAAGGTGAGCCCTGGCCCCTGCCTCAGCCCCAGCCCTCCTGCTCCCCTTGTCTGTTCGCTGCCTGAGCCCGGCTCCTCTCCTCAGTTCACTACGCTCGCCCCATCATCATCCTTGGGCCCACCAAGGACCGTGCCAATGACGATCTTCTCTCCGAGTTCCCCGACAAGTTTGGATCCTGTGTTCCCCGTGAGTGCTGGGGCCTTGGATGGAGGTGGAGGTGAAGGTGAGGGTGGAGGAGTGGGATGCCTGAGGAGCCCCGCTTGTGAGGGCCGTAGGCAAAACTGCCTGCAGGCATTGGAGTGCAGGGGTCACAGGATTCCTCAAAGAAGGGGTCTTCTCAGCTCCCACAGGAGTCAACCCCGGGCCAGAAAATGGGAGACCCTGGCGGGTGTTGGGGGAGTGGTTCTGTCCCTCTTGAGTTTTAGTCTCCACAGTGGCCTCCTATCAAGGATGAGTTGGGCACTTTGGGAGTTTGGTTGGTGAGGCAGATTTTAAGCTAGAGGGATGGTGGTTAGATCTTTGGGGGGGTGGGGTGACTTCCTGGCAGATACTACACGGCCCAAGCGGGAGTATGAGATAGATGGCCGGGATTACCACTTTGTATCGTCCCGGGAGAAAATGGAGAAGGACATTCAGGCGCACAAGTTCATTGAGGCTGGCCAGTACAACAGCCATCTCTACGGGACCAGCGTCCAGTCCGTGCGAGAGGTGGCAGAGCAGGTAGGACCCACTGAGCACCTGGTCCTCTTCCTTCTGCCCTCTCCCTACCCCATTGCCTCTTCCAACTCTCTCTAACTCTCTTTCTCTCTGTCTCTTTCCCTGCTGGGTCTCCACTCCGTCCTCCACCTCCTTCTCCTCTTGGGCAACTCTGTCTGGCTGCCTGCTCTTTTGTGCCCTGCTGCCCTCGCTTCCTGACCCCACACTCCCCACTGCCATCTGTCCCTTTCCTCTGCTCCCCTCCTCCTCGCCCCACTTCTCCTCTCTTTCTGTGGCTGTACCTTGGCCTCCTCCAACTTGGTCCCTTCCTTCTTCCTGATTCCTCCTGGCCCTCTCCCCTCTCCTTCCTTTTCCTGGGGTCCCCACGCCCCTTTCCATTCCTCTGCTAACTCCTTTTACTGATGCTTGCCACCCTGCCTGCCCTCCCTCCATGGCTCCTTGCTCCATCTGCCTTCCTTCTCTCCATCTGTCTCTCCTTGTCCCTTCCATCTGTCTGTCCTCTGTCTGTCCTCCTCTCCCTCCTCCTTCTATCCTACTTCCTTTCTCCTTTTCCCTTGCTTTATTTCCCTTGCCCTGTCCTACCTTCCGTGCCCCACCCCCTTCTCCATTGCCCCTCTTGACCCTGCTCTGTATCCGTCTTCTGGATCCCCTTCCTGCCTGGTTTTCATTACATCCTCCATCCTGTTCTTTCGCTGCCCTACTGTGCTTGGTTCTCTGTCTTCTCTTTCCTTTTTTTTCTCTGTCTTTCACTCTGTCTGTCCATATCCCCTTCCCATCCTGACTATCCATGTGTCTTTTGACATTCATGTCACTTCCCCTTTGGCCATCCTCTTGTCCCCTCTTTTCCATGTTCTGTGTCCCTTCTTGGCACCTCTGTCTGTCCTTTCCCATCACCTGCTGGTCCCCCTCCGCCTACCCTGCCTGCCCCCAGGGGAAGCACTGCATCCTCGATGTCTCAGCCAATGCTGTGCGGCGGCTGCAGGCGGCCCACCTGCACCCTATCGCCATCTTCATCCGCCCCCGCTCCCTGGAGAATGTGCTGTGAGTATGGTCCTGGGGGCCTCCCCTCTGCTCCCCGCACTTGTGGTCCTAGGCCTCTCAAGGCCTCTGTGTTGAACTCTCCCCTCAGAACTCTGGACAGCAACTCCAGCAGCCCTCAGTGGGGATCTGCATGGAGAGCTGAAACCCAGAGATTGCAAGGAATCCCAGGCTTTTCCTCTTTTTTCCTACCTTGAGTTAAGCAGGCTACAATTCCCAGCAGTTCCTGGGACACATGCCTGCTGGGGCAAGCCAGGGCCTCAGGAGCAGTTGGGAGTTAGAGTCTAACTCCTTCTCTGAGTCTGAAGACTGGAAGGATAAACTCTAGAGAGGTCCTGGAAATACCCACACCTGGCTGAGGTGGGTTGTGGGTGGGGGCTCATCTGTGACCCCAGAGGATATCAGGAATTATATTTTTTGCTACTTGCTTTCAATAAGAAAGTACCCGTTGCAGCCTAACATCCCTGGATGGAGGAGGTAAAGTTCTGGGTCTTCCTTTCTTCACAGAGAAATTAATAAGCGGATCACAGAGGAGCAAGCCCGCAAAGCCTTTGACAGAGCCACCAAGCTAGAGCAGGAGTTCACAGAGTGCTTCTCAGGTGAGGCTGCAGTGGTGACACACACAGGGCACTTTTGCTCAGATTTGACAAAGTTCACCCCACTGCAGGGATGGCTCTGGAAGAGGTGTCCCGTGGGTGGGTGCAGCCTCATGGCTCATGGCTGGGGGAATTAGGAAAAGGTGCCCATTTCTCTGGGCTGTATCCTGCCTTGGTCAGGCATCCTCTGTCCCTTGGCCTCACTCCCTGTTCCACCCACTCCCAGCCATCGTGGAGGGTGACAGCTTTGAGGAGATCTACCACAAGGTGAAGCGTGTCATCGAGGACCTCTCAGGCCCCTACATCTGGGTCCCAGCCCGAGAGAGACTCTGATTCCTGCCCTGGCTTGGCCTGGACTCGCCCTGCCTCCATCATCCGGGCCCTTGGTCTGGACTGAATTGCCCACGTCCTTCGCACCCCAGCCTCCCTCTGACCCCTTCTTATTTATTTCCTTTCTAACTGGATCCAGCTCATTGGAGGGGGGACACTCCTCTGCATGTATCCCTACACCCCAGAACTGGGCTCCAGAATCCTAGGAACCTGGGGTCTGGGCGGGGAGCCGGGCTCCTGGTTCCAAGCCCTTGCTCCTCAGGATCCCTACCCTTACCTGCCCCCAATGCACACACAGACCCACTGGGGGCTGCCCGCCCTCCCCCATACATTCCAGAAGTCAGGGCCCCTCTCAAGGAGCACCCGCTGTAGGGATGCAGGGCCACAGGCCTCCGCGCTCTCTGGAGGCAGGGTCTGGGGTCACCCTTGCTCCATCATAACTCCCCATGTCCCTTGATTTCTCAATTTTTTTTTCATTTTTTTTCTCCTAAAAGGTGGTTTTTGGGGGAGAAGTAGTGGGACTCTTCTGCAGGTCCCCTGCCTTCCACATGCCCCCACCTTTTTTCTTTGCTGGTTTGCATGAGTGGAAGGTCTAACTGTGGCTTTTTTTTTTCCCTGGGATTTTTCTTCTTCTTCTTTTTTTCTGTTTTTCTTTTTCTTTTTTCCTTTTTTTCTTCTTTTTTTTTTTTGGGGAAAGGGGAGGGATGGGTCTAGGGAGTGGGAAATATGGGAGGGAGGGTGGGGGGCAGGGGTTAGGGGTTGGGTGTCTGGGAGCCAGGGGAAGACTGGAAATGCTGCCGCCTTCTGCAATTTATTTATTTTTTCTTTTGAGAGAGTGAAAGGAAGAGACAGATACTTGAAACTCAGTGTGTGGCCTGGTTATTTGGGTCCTGGGTGTGGAGGGAGACAGGGTGGGGGCCCAGGGATGGGTGGGTCTGGTAAATTCAGATCCTTCTTCATCCCAACCCAGAGAGAATAGGGTGGCCTGAGATGGGGGCTTTGGAGGGAAGCAGCAAATCAAGTTGTTGAGGAATGGGCTTGGGGAGGGTTGGAGCTCTGTCCAAAGTCACTGATAGTCAGGAAGACTTGCCTGCAAAGTACAGAAGCTTCTTGGTTTATGATGGGTTCATATTCCAATAGATCCATCATAAGTTGGAAATATCCTAAGTAAAAAATGCATTTAGGCTGGGCATGGTGGTGTACACCTGTAATGCCAATGGCTTGGGAGGCTGCGGCAGGAGAATCGCAAGTTCAAAGCCAGCCACAGCAACTTAGTGAGTCCCCAAGCAACTCAGTGAGACCCTGTCTCTAAATAAAATATAAAATAGGACTGGGGACATGGTTCAGTGGTTAAGCACCCCTGGGTTCAATTCCTGGTTTAAAAAAAACAAAATGCATTTAGTACACCTGACTTACTGAACATCATATCTTAGACTTGCCTACTTTAAATGTTCTCAGAACACTTATGTTAACCCATAGTTAGGCAGAATCATCTAACACAAAACCTACCGTATAATACAGAATAAACATCTTGTGCCTGATGGGCAGCTGCAGCATATTGTAACAGCATATTGCTAATCCATGAAAAGGTCAAAGTTTGAAGTACAGTTTCTACTGAATGTGTATTGCCTTCATATCATCGTCAAGTTGAAAAACCATGGGCTGAGCCATCATATGTAAGTTGAGGTCTGTATAAAGGAAACTTTTATGTTCATGAAGTTGTAGACAGCTGGGCTCTAGAGATAACATTTATAGAGGTTTGCTGGTAAGGAATGCTGTATGAATATTTATTCATTTGGTTTCTTTATGCCTCATTTCTATAGAAAAAAAATTTGAAGCAGCTTTGCAAATAGTGAGGGTAGGAAAATAGAAATTGGATCCTAAAGATATAACTAGGAGAAATGGATGAGCTATGAGGGTAAATATTATCTCAGCTTCCTGGTAGCCAGGACAAAATGGGAAATGGCTCATTGCCTAGTTCCTTATAATAAAAGGTAAGTCATTTTAGGTTTTATTTTAGGAAGTCAGATTTTCCTGGCCCTAAGTCCTAAACAAAGCTGCTTGGATTGCTGCTTTATAGAAAAGTAGTTCTCAACCTTTCTTTTGCCCCTGCTCATGTGCTTGGCAAGCTCTCAACTGAGGTGTGACATAGGTATGGTGTTGCTGGCACCAGTTATGATTCTGTCCCCTCTGATTCTCAGGGGCCTCAGTTGGGAAGGCTGAGGTGGAAGGCCCTAAGTGTTGTGGTGTCTAAGTCCTGAACAGTTGCAGAAGAGGTTTTTGTAGGCACCCCTGAGCAAAGCTGAGAGGGATGCAAAATCCTGACCCTGGGGAGGCCCAAGCCTAAACCAGTCCAAGGATCAAGGTGTTGCTTACACCAGTGATCCTCTGTGGATCACCCTGAAAAAAATACCTGTGTAGCACCCTATTCTATAGGAGCCAACCTTTTGAATTGTGGTGGGGGGGTTCCAGGTGTGTGCATTTCAGGAAACCACCCAGGTGATTCTGATGTTTTGCTGTGGGGACAAGCACTGCTACTAGAGGACATTTTACGAATAATCCTCTTAACTTGATTCTGCATAAGAGCAGATGGCATGAGTCTGTGCTGTTCTCTACCATGGGCTAAAGGGAGAAATCTGGGAGCTGAGGAAAGTGTGTGCAGGCAGTGGGTCCAGATCTAAGGAGTTTACCTAGAAGGTAAAAATCATATAATCCTGCATTATGATAATAATGATAAGGACTGACAGTCCGATGCTAGGTAAGTACTCTCCCACTGAACTACATACATCTCCAGCTATTTTTAATTTTTGAGACAGGGTCTCACTAAGTTGCTCAGGTTGGCCTCAAAAGTTTTGATCCTCCTGTCTCAACCTCCAAAGTATGTGGGATTTTCATGCATTAGTTTGAAGTATAAAAGCAAGACATGTACCTGACAAATATTCAAATATAGAAATACATATGGTTGGAAAAAGTCCTCATTTTAATCCACCATGGTAACAGTTTTGGATGTAGTATTCCAAATCTATAGAGAACTCTTCCCTGGTCCCTTGAAGGAGGCAGGATACTTTAGTGAATAAGAGTACTGGTCTCTCAAGCTGATTAGTGTTCAAATCCTGGCTCCTGTTTTCCCCATGCACTTTAAGTCTTTCAACAAACACTTGGATCTTCCTTGGTACCAGCCAAGTATTCAAAATGCTGAGAAGGCAACATTGGTTTTCAGGGAATTTGGGGTCTACCCAGTGGGAATAATAGATAATTTGAAATTCAATCAATGTTATTAAGCAAATAAAGTAACCACTGAACATGTGTCCTTGCTAGTTTATGCAGGGTGGCCAGGAAGTCCTCTTCTTGGAGAAAAACATTTGAGTTGACTTGAATGTTGACATATACTGGGATGAGGGGACTGTGCCAAGTAGAGCAACGACAAGGTAGGGGTAAGTTTAGAAGGTGGGAGGACAGGAGGGCATTGGGGTGGAGAGAATTACATGGGTTAGGCCTGACACACAGGCCTTTGCATGAATTTTATTTCAAGTGCCATAAAAAGCTGCCAGAGGGCTGTGAGAAGGCGGCTTCAGGGTTTTTATTTCTGCAAGATGGCCCTGGGAGCTGGTGGAGAATATATAGCAGGGGACAATAGAGAGCCAGGGAGGTTGCTGCTGAGGTTAAGATAGGGGACGATGGTGGCACCACTGTCACTTGGGGCAAGGAGCGCCTCCTCTCAGCCTGTTTCCCTAGCTGTAAAATGAAATTGGCCTGCCTTGCTGAATTCTTGTGAGAAAGGTGACAATACTTGTAAGCGCTTAGTCTAGTGCCTGGCAACGGTAAGGAATGGTAACAATGGTTGTTATTGGCCTCTCGGTCTGTTTTCGGTGTTTGGATGAACCTGGAAGTTAAATAAAACCTGGGATAATTTGGAGTACTAAAATTTACTTGCTGGGTGTGGTGATGCATGCCCGTAATCCCAGTGGCTCGGGAGGCTGAGATAGGAGGATCAAGGGTTCAAAGCCAGCCTCAGCAATAGTGAGGCACTAAGCAACTCAGTGAGACCCTGTCTCTAAATAAAATACAAAATAGGGCTGGGGATGTGGCTCAATGATTGAGGTCCCTGAGTTCAATCCCCAGTACCCCCTTCCCTAATTTCTTAAATTATCACCCTTTAAAAGTAGGAAAAAAGTCTGGGAGCAGTGACACATGCCTGTGAATCTCAGTTGAGGCAGGAGGATTGCCAGTTTGAAGCCATCCTGGGCAATTTAGAAGACCCTGTCTCAAAAAATTAAAATGAGGGGCTGGGGATGTGGTTCAAGTGGTAGTGCGCTTGCCTGGCATGTATGCGGCCTGGGTTTGATCCTCAGCACCACATACAAACAAAGATGTTGTGTCTGCCAATAACTAAAAAATAAATATTAAAAAAGAAATAAAAATGAGGATGTATCCCAGTAGTTTATCACTCCTGAGTTCAATCCTGGTACCAAAACAAATGAAAATAGAAAAGGGACATAGAGAGGGTCCTGGTCTCACAGAATTCCAGCTGTCCCAAGACTGGAAAGTTGGCGTGTGCCTGGGACAGAGAGAGTAGAGTTGGGAAAATGAGAGCCAGGATGGAGAAAGACCCTGCCAGAATCAAGAGTTCACACCTGGCCCACAGGCAAAGTCCCTGTCCACTACAGAGCTGGGATGTTCAAGCTCATTGAAAGGGGTGGTGGTGTCAGTTCAGATTTTACACATCTGTGCAGAGGACCACCTCCTCCATCCAACCCCATCAGTCACCACTCCCTTGCCTCTACCTATGTGCTGAGCCCGACTGTCCGGGTGCCTCTCTCTTAACCTCTCCTGCTTTTTCTCAGCTTGAGCCCTTCCCAAGCTTTCCTAGCTAAGGGGACCTATAGGCCAACCTTTTTGGCAAGTCAGCATCGAGCCACCTCTTCTTGAGATCTCGGAGTGCTACATTGTCTGTTGGCCAGTGGTGCCAAGGAGCTTGAGGTATCACCTCATCTTCACGGTCTGGGGCAAGATCAAGGTTGGTTGGTCCCCGCACAATGTTGCAAGTGTTCTGAGAGGAGTAGGCAAGGGCTGAGGTAGCTCAGAATCCAGGATTGTCCCAGTGAAATAGCTAATCATTCTCTGGGGTATGAAGAGAGGTTTCCTCTGCCATCCTGATCCCCAAGCCCCTTTCCTGTACACACAAAGAGGCCCCAGAGGTTCAACTCAACTCTTGGCCATGCTGTTAGAAGAGAATAAATAAATAAATAAAACAACCACCATGTGCTGAGCACTTAGTATGTGCAGGTGCTGTGCCAAGTGCTCTTTATCATTTTTATTTAACCTTGACATTTATTCTCCCAGATGGGCATTACACCTACACTTTCTAGGTGAGAGCAAGGTGAGTTCAGAACTGTCTGATAATGAGCTTTGCCCACTTAACCTCATTCTGGGGGACCTCCTGTTGGCTCATTCTAAATATCTATATCCACTTATTCTCAAAAGTCAGTACCTTCTCCTTGGCCCACCAGCTGCTCAGGCCTCCCCAGCCTAAAAAGTACTTCCTTCTTCCCAACTCTTCTGAGAGAAAGCTCATTTCTCTCTCTGGCCCTAGTGGATTTTAACCTGGCCTTGGGGTTCCAGGAAGCCTTGAAAGCCACCCCTATTTCCTAGTGGCAATTCTGGGGCTCACTCTTCTGATTCTGATTCTGGCAGGGACTTGGTCTTGGGCTACTTTCTTCCTGCTCTGCCCTCTTACTGGGTGGTCTTTTCTAGGCACTTTGCCACACTGGGCCATGCCCAAGACTCTGCCTTCAAGATCTGCAGTCCAGAAATCCCTGTGACTCCAGACTCATCCTCTGACTCTGGTCAGGTACATTGCTGTTGTCTCCCCAAGCTGTTCCCTCGCTCTTTGCATATTCAGTAATACTAGGTCCACTCCATTCCTCTGCTAAAGTTTTGTCCATGTGGCTCTAACTATCTGGCCTCAATTCTTGTAGTTTCTCACTGGGACCAACAGCAGCCTCTGGACTGATCTCCCTGCCTCTGAGCCACCTACCTCTGAACTATCTCCTACACAGAGGCCAGGCATCTTTCAGTCAGAGATCTGACCTAGCACTATCCTGCCTGCAACTGTTCATGGGTCCCATAATCTATAGTCACAGTCTTTAAATGAGTTGCTCACATGTCCCTGCCAGCAAAATGTTTTTGAGCACGTGTTCCCTTAATATGTGTTCACTCATTCTTCAAGATGGCTCCCAGTGATCCCTTTTTTCTCAGACTCACATCCTGTGTGATTCCCTCCTACAATGAGTAGGGCTGAGGCCAGTAGGATACTTCCGAAATGATGGACTGTTATTTCTGATACTAGGCCATAAAAGGAATGGTGCTCTTGGATCACTCACTCTGGCAGGAGCTGGCAGCCATGTTGTGAGGACATTCAAGTAGTCCTGTGGTGAAGAACCAAGTGCTGCCAACACCCAGCACTAACTTGCCCACCATGTGAGTGAGTCCTCTTGGTAGTTATCTTCCAGTCTCTTTCAAGTCTTCAAATGAACATAGCCCTGACTGAAATCTTGGTTGCACCCTTGTGAGAAACCCGAAATCAGAACCTGTGAGCAAAGTTGCACCCTGATCCTCAGAAGCTGGGTCCTGGAGTGGACCTAGTATTACTGAATGTGCAAACAATCCCATATTTTTTTTTTTTT